CATGCTGCCCTGGATCCATCCCACTCAGAGTCAGTAACCACTCACCCAGATGCTTTCCAATTTCTTAAAGTATTTTGCTCTGGACACCTCTCATATTACCTTATCCTTGTAAATATGTGCCTTAAAAAGTCTCTTTGCCATAATTTTAGTGTATTTTTAGTATAGCAAAATTAGATACATATGTTCAATATACCATTCTTATTCAAACACTTTTAAGTACATTTAACTGTTTTTAAAATAGTAGTTTAAAAACATATATGCCCACATGTCCGTGTCCTACATATCACATTTTTTAATTCATCAAAACAGGCCTATTGGGCCTCCCTGGTGGTGCAAGGGGTTAAGCATCAGCACTATGAAGCTATCGGCAGTCACTGCAGCATGAGTTCCATCCCCAGCCAGGGAGGTGACCCACATGGTGCAGCAGACCTCTCCTGTCTTGCCTGCAGCTCCCCTCAGCAGATCCACCTGTTCTGCTCCCCACTCTGTCTCTGGTGAATCCTCTCACCCCTCCCACCAAGCCCGCACACCTGGCCTACACCCCAGCTCTTGTGTGCATAAATATAATAAATCTTTTTTAAAAAACAAAAAAACCCCAGCCTTATTAACATTAAATGATTTTATAACCCAAACATGTCATGAATTTGAACTTATAAATGTATTCTGGTAAGTTATTGTTTTCATTTTAGAGAGTAAGGTTCTACATAAGGCTTTGCTTAGAAAAGGGGGTTGACTGCTTTAAGAAAAAAATTAGAGGGCCTCCTTGGTGGCGCAGAGGTTGAGCGCTGGGTTGCGAAGCTGCCCGCAGCCTCTGCAGCACCGGTTCGATCCCCGGCTGCTCCCCGGCCACGGGAGGAGGGTCCCATGTGGCGCGCAGACCTCTCCTGCCGCCCGCTGCTCCCCTCAGCAGTGTACTTCGGTCCTTCTGCCTGCTCTGCTCCCTGCTCTGGCTCTGGTGAATCCGCTCACCCTCCCATGCTTCTGACTGTACCCACTGCTTGTATAAATAAATAAATATTTAAAAAAAAATTTAAAAATAAATTCATTTAAAAAAAAAAAAAAAAAAAAAAAGAGGGCCTCCCCGGTGGCGCAGCGGTTGAGCGCTGGGTTGCGAAGCTGCCCGCGGCCTCTGCAGCGCCGGTTCGATCCCCGGCTGCTCCCCGGCCACCAGAGGAGGGTCCCACATGGCGCGCAGACCTCTCCTGCCGCCCGCTGCTCCCCTCAGCAGTGTACTTCGGTCCTTCTGCCTGCTCTGCTCCCTGCTCTGGCTCTGGTGAATTCTCTCACCCTCCCGTGCTTCTGACTGTACCCAGTGCATGTATAAACAAAAAAACAAACAAAACAAATAAATTAAAAAAATAAATAAATAAATAAATAAAAAAAAAAGAAAAAAAAAAGAAAAAAATTAGAAAGAAAAAGTTTATAAACATCTCTCCTGGGCTAATAATCCCCGAAGTGTGTGTTAGTGAAGATGTTGCTATTGGTCAGAGAGCTGTTCATGGGGTAGAGATTTGGAAGCCGGAGCACCCCAGCCCCAGGGGAAGAGTAGGGCAGAATCATTACCTAAGAAAAGAGTTATTTTCTTACACCTGCCTAGGTCCTCCTGCCTAACTCCCAACCCCTTGTGCTGTCTTCCCACAATTCTTTTTTTTTTTTATTTAATAGAGGCATGTTTATTTATTTATTTGTTTGTTTGTTTGTTTTTTATACATGCACTGGGTACAGTCAGAAGCGCTGGAGGGTGAGAGAATTCACCAGAGCCAGAGCGGGGAGCAGAGCAGGCAGAAGACCGAAGTACACTGCTGAGGGGAGCAGCGGGCGGCAGGAGAGGTCTGCGACCCTCCTCCGGTGGCCGGGGAGCAGCCGGGGATCGAACCGGCGCTGCAGAGGCCACGGGCAGCTTCGCAACCCAGTGCTCAACTGCTGCACCACCGGGGAGGCCCTTCCCACAATTCTTTACAGTTGTGGGTGTTATAAAACATTGCATTTTTAAAAATCAGGTTTACTGAGGAACAATTTACATATAACAAAATTCACCAATTTTAAGTGGACAATACAGTGAATTTTCACAAATGAACAGGGTACGTAACCATCACCATAATCATGATGTAAAACATTTCCTTCACTTAAAAACTTTCCTTGTGCCTTTTTGTAGTCAGTCTCCTCCCCCTGTCTGGCTCTTGGCATCTACTCATCTGCTTTCTGTCACTTTCTGTTTTGTATTTTTAGAATTTCACACAAGTGGAATCTTACAGTTTATAGTAGTCTGTGTCTGGCTTCTTTCACTTAGTATAATGCTTTTGAGTTAGTCATGTTGTTGCATGTATTGGTAGTTATGCCTTTTTTTTTTTTTAAAGATTTATTTATTTATGCACACAAGAACTGGGGTACAGGCCAGAGGTGCGGGGGGGTGAGAGGATTCACCAGAGACAGAGTGGGGAGCAGAACAGGTGGTTCTGCTGAAATACACTGCTGAGGGGAGCAGCAGGCGAAACAGGAGAGGTCTGCTGCACCATATGGGTCAGCTCCCTGGCCAGGATGAAACTCGTGCTGAAGTGGTTGGCAATAGCTTGATAGCGCTGGGACTTTAAGCCCCGCGCCACCAGGGAGAACCCTTGGCAGAACTTTTTAAATAAATCTCTTTTATTATCCTCACTGTAGAGTCTGTGGTGATTCCTCTTTCTCATTTCTGCTGATGGTAATTTCTACTTTCTCTCTTTTTTTCCTGGTAAAACCTAGCTAGAGATTTATTGATTTCATTAATCTTTTCAGAGAAACATGTTTTGGTTGTATTGATTTTCTTCATCTTTATTTGGTTGTTTTCTATTTTACTGACTTCTACTCTTTTAAAAAAAACAAAACACTTATTTATACAAGAACCGGGGTACATGCCAGCTGTGTGGGAGGGTGAGAGGATTCACCAGCGACAGAGTGGGGAACAGAACAGGCAGACTGACGAAATACACTGCTGAGGGGAGTAGCGGGCGAGACAGAAGTCTGCTGCGCCATGTGGGTTTCTCCCCAGCTAGCTGGGATTGAACCCACACTGCAGAGGCTGCAGACAGCTTCACAGCGCTGTGCTCAATCACCTGTGCCACCAGGGAGGCCCCCTGACTTCTACTCTTATACTTATTATGTCTTTCTGCTTATTTTCGGTTATTCTGTTCTTCCTTTTCTGGTTACTTCTTCTAAGCACTGCTTTAACAGCATTCCACAAATTTTGGTTTATATGTCATTTTTTCATTTTCACGCACTTCAAAATATTTCATAATTTTCCTTGTGATTTTTTCCTTGATTCACGGATTATACAGAAGTGTCTTGTTTAATTTACAAATATTTGGGAAATTTCCAGATAGCTCTCAATTATTAATATACAGTTTAACTTCCCTGTGGTTAGAAACATATGTTGCATGATTTTAATCTTAACTTTGTTGATAATTACTCTATGGCTCAGAGTATTGTTCCAAATGCATTTGAAGATAATATATGTCCTGCTATTGTTGGGTGAGATAGTCTATAGGTATCAATTGCATCCAGCTAGCGTTTTTCAAAACTGCTATAGCCTTACTTATTTTTCTGTAATTTTGCCAATTCCTGCAAGAGAAGTGTTAAAATCTCTAACTATAATTGTGGATTTTTCTATTTCTCCTTTACTTCTGTAAGTTTTTTATTTCATGTAGTTTGAAGCTATGTTATTAGTTGCATATCCATATAGGATTGATACTTTTATCATTACGTAATGTCCCTCTCTCTTTATCTTTGCTAATAATTCCTGTTCTAAAATATGATATTAAAGTAGTCTCTCCAGCTTTCTTTTGATTAGTATTAATATGGTTTATCTTGTTCCATCCTCTTACTTTTAAGCAACGTGTAGCTTTCAATTAAGGTGTGTGTCTTGTACATAGCACACAGATGAGTTTTAGATTTTTCTTAATTGAAGCTTACAATTTCTATTTTTTAATTGGCTTCTTTGGGTCATTCATATGTAATCTAATTATCAGTATGGTTGAACTTAAAAGAAAGAAAGGAAGGAGAGAAAAAAGGGGGGAGGGGTGGATGCAAAGTACCATAGGCTGGGAGTCAGGAAACCAAGTTGGAGTCTCAACTCTGTAACTTTAAATAAATCTCAAAACTCCTCTGAGTCTGACCCTGGTTTGCATATGTTTGTAAGGATGAATAAGTTATCTGTACATCATGCTGTGAAATCATAAGGGATTAAAGTACGATCTAGTGCCAGATTTACAGCTGGGCAAGTATCAATAAGCCAGCAGGACAGAAGCACCTTAAAGACATAACTAGGTCCCACCATTTCTTTATTTTCATACTTGGTACATAGAATATCAGCAATAAATATTTACTGAGTGAGTGAAGCAATGAAAGAATTAACTTTGGATAAGTGTATGAATGTATGTGAAAGACAGGTAGGTGTGAGGTTGAGGTGACAAGTTATTAAATGACCATGGCACTGATAAAAACTGAAATTACACTGTTTGGTTCCTTAGTTGTTAAATGGTAATACTTTTTAGTAGCATGAAGGAATAATATGCATGTATCTACATTTGTACTTACATATTCAACAAGTGTTTATTAAGTGCCTCCTATATGCCAGGGACATTCTAGATCCTGGGCGTACAATAATGTTTATTTGAACCATTTGTTTTTAAAAGGCCTTCTGCCATGATTATCAGCTTCGGTAAGTGAAAGTGTTGATTGAGTTGTGATTCCTGGTGGAAATGTAAACATATTCCTATTGGTTATCGATTGGTTCTAATTAAAATAAAGTTCTTGGTGGGAAAAGAACTTTTTAAATTGCTTTTTCCTATTTTTAGCCAATAATGTTTAACTTGGGAGCATATTACTTAATGATTTTCAAAAAGCAACAGGTCAAGTTGATATATATTAGGGAATAGATAGAAAGCCAGAAACCAAACAGAATGATGACAGGGAGTCACCCTTCAATCAAATTGATGATGTCATTGAAGGAGAGAAGGTCAGTTGGAACCTGATGTCTGGCAGTTACAGGGAGCTGTGACTAGGCAGAGGGTGCTCAGGAGCTCCTCTGGGGCCCTTCACCCCAAAGCAGCCAACATTGTGTGTGCAGGCTGGACTGACAGATCCAAAATGGAGAAAGATGAGCCCCCACAGCTAATGACCCCTAAGTCAGTGGAAGGCATTGTCTCAAGGATTGAGGCTGCCCAGCTAGCTCGTGCCCAGGAGGTAACTTCTGTTGGGATCTGAATTGGAGGTTGGGAACTTAACTCAGGTTTGGGCAACATTCCAGTTCTGCATGGGGACCTGGGATTTTCAGCAACTTGTTTGTAGACAGATAAGTGCAAAACATCTTCTCTTAGATTTGGCCTCTGCAAGGCAAGGCCAGAGGCGGGGCTGGAGCCAGGATGAGAGCAGCTCACAGGGCAACCTCAGAACGGCTCTGAGACAGAGGCGGTGGGGGTGTGTGTGTGTGTGGCAAGAATTCACGATTTGGGTTCTGTTCTTTGCAACCTCTCAGAATCCCCCCAGCCAAGTCCTAGAAACTCACATGGAAATGGCCAAAGGCTGGTCCCATCTTTCCTGTGGACCCCTAGTATATTTTTTGATGCGAGCCTCTAATCTTAAGGTTTTCTTGGGAACTTATTTTTCCAGTCTTCTGTTGCCTCCGAATCCTTGCGAGAGGTTCAAAAGTCCCCAGCAAATTCTGAAATTCTGAAGAAATGGTCATTGGCTTTTTAGTATTTTCTTCCTTCCTAATCTGATCTTAAGAGTAAAAATGATAGTAATAAGAGTGAACACTTTTTTAAAATGCCAGGCACTGCCCCAAGTACTTTACAGATATTCATTGAATCTTTACAAAAATGTGACATAGGTATTAACGATCCACACTTTATAAATAAGAAACCTGAGGCCCTAAAAGGCACTGACTTGTCGAAGATCACACCACCAGACCAAAGCCCACTAAATATGACACTCTGCTGTCTCCCATGTAGGATATTTCTTCCCAGCTCTCAGACATTTTGGACAATGTCGACGGTGTCATCAACCGCTTCCAGCAAGAATTAGGATATGATTTAAAAGAACAGGCAAAATCTCACCAGATGGAACAAAAGAGCAAAAGCCGATTCCTATTACTAGAAAAAATTGCTTCCCTCTCCAAAGATGCTAAGACTAAAGAGAAGCACTTGTGTGAAATGCTCCACTGGCTGGATGACTGGGGTGAGTCTGCAGGTTGGGTCCAGCCCTCAGGGCAGGTACCTCCCCCAAGATACTTGTCTGTCTTGCTCAGTCTACTCCTTTCCCCATCTAGATCAGCATTCCCTGGGGCCATTGGGAGGTGCAGGGGGAGCAGAAGGCACATCACAGTGCCTCTTCAGTGAGACATTTTCCAGCTCATATTACAACATATCATCTCCACTCCCCAGAGGGGCAAACATGTAATTGTACAAAACATAATAGATTATGACATTAGCTGAGATCTGACGAAGTCTAAGTCACATGTCCCTTATGACATCTCATTTTTTAGCAAGATAGAAACTAAATTCAAATCCACACTAGCTGTTTTATTTTAGGTTTCCTTGAGATATAATTGACAAATAACACTGTGTTAACTTAAGGTACCCAAGGTGATGATTTAATATACATATATGTTGTGAAATGATTACCACAAAAAAGTTCGTGAAGACATGCATCATCCCCACAAGGTTACCCTGTTTTGTGTGTGATGAGAACATTTCAGATCGACTTTCTTAGCAAATTTCAAGTATGCGGTATAGTATTAACTTAGCCTCACTTTAGGTCTCTATAATTGTCTCTTACAATTGAAAGTTTGTACCTTTGAGCAAAATGAGTTCCCTCATTTCTCCCATCTCCCAGCCCCCATAATCACCAATCTCTCTCTCTTTCTGAATTTGACTCTTTTACATTCTACATGTAAGTAATATCATACAGTATTTGTCTTTCTCTGTCTGACTTATTTCTCTTACCATTTTGCCCTAAAGGTTGATCCATGTTGTCACAAATGGCAGGATTTCCATCTTTGTTATGACTGAATATGTGTGTATAGTATGTGTAGATATACACACCTATTAATATATACACATGCTATATTTTCTTTATCCTTTCATCCTGTTGACTGACACTTAGGCTGTCTACATGTCTTGGTTCTTATAAATAATGATTCAGTGAACGTGTGGTGCAGAAGAGGGGAGGCTGGATCATATGATAGCTCTGTTTTTATTTGAATGGCCCCCATACTGCTTTCCATAATTATTATACAATTCACATTCCCATCAACAGTGTCCTCACCAACACTTTTTCTCTCGGCTTTTTGCTAATAGCCCTTCTAATAAGTGTGAGGTTATGGCTATCTGTGGTTTTGACTTGCATTTCCCTGATGATTAATGATGTTGGAGCACCTTATTGTGTACCTGTTGGCCAGAATTATCCCATCTTGGAAACTCAGTCTATTGTGGATGTTGCAATGTTTGGGGGAAGATGGTGTAGGGAAGTGCCCCACAGCCCTCACACTGCCTTGCCCCCAGGACTCTCAGTTTAGTGATTCCTCCCGCAATTGCCCCCAAGAACAAAGCAGGGCTGTTGACTCCAGTTAATTCATTTAATTGTACAGATATTGGACTAGCAATGGGGATGGAAGTATAACAAGGCAGACACATCCCTGGCCTTATAATAGAATGATACTATTTAATGTATATTACATATTTTCTACATGGAAGGCCTCATGTTAATAATACCACATGTATTATCTCATTTAATCCTCACCTAATCCTTTTACAGGGAAGGATACTGAGGCTCAGGGAGTTAAGTGATTTGCCCAACATCACACAGCTAGTCAGAGGTGAAACCAATCTGATTTTTTTTTTTTTGGTGGGACCCTCGCCGGCAGCCGGGGAATGAATCGGTGCTACAGAGGCTGTGGGCAGCCTCGCAGGCCAGCGCTCAACCACTGCGCCACCAGGGAAGACCCCCAATCTGATTTTATGGTCTGCTGGTGTATTCCCTGTGCTAAAGGGCTGCTTGGGGGCTCCCCAGAGAACAGATTGTTTTCTGCCTCCGCCTCCCATCCCCTCTCCAGGTGACAGTCTGACCCATGAGATCAGGAACAGGAAGAGTGAGGAAGAAGAAGAATCCCTGGACAAATGGATCCAGGTGATGGAGAAAATGTTACCTCTCTCCCTCATCACCACCAAAGGAGGCATCAAGTCTCTCATTTCTCTTTGCTCTACTCTTATTGAAAGACAAAAGAAAAGGGCACAAAGTAAGTTCTAGGAGCATCTGAGCAGGGGCTGGTGGGAGGCGAGGCTGAGGGGGTGCTGCTGGGTATGGTGGATGCCATGGCAGGGAAAGAAGTCACATGCCAAGGTCTAGAGGGATCTTTTCAGTTCTCCTCCACAACAAAAGCTTTACCTCAGTCAGGCAGTGGTGAAAGGTTGGGATGTTGAACTCCTGTTAAGTTCCTGAGAAGTTCTGAACTGTCCCTCAATGCTGGAGGTAGGGGTAATATGGAGACAGGTCCCTGTTGTGTTCCATGGATCTGTGGTTTCATGAAGGTTTGGATGAACAAGGTTCAGAGGCCAGAAAGGCTGAGTTTTTAGGTAAAGGAACAACCTTCTATATTCCAAACCCAGAGTCAAGAAATCTGGTGAGGTGGAGCTAGAGGCTCTTCCAGAACTTTCTCAATTGTGATCACTCCAGAAATAGGCAGACAACAACATGGCTTAACCTTGAGATTTTTTTACTCCTTTCAACACTAGAAGGGAACCAAGATTATTTACTTCCCATATTTTGTAGATGAGAAAGAACACTGAAGCTTATAGAAAAGATCACAAAGAAAGCTTGTGGCAAAACCAGACACCACATTTAGATTTCCTGACCTCTTCATACTACTCAAGAGCATGGACTTCGGAATCAGATAGTCCTGAGCTTGAATCCCATCTATGCCAGTTTCTGGCTATGTGATTTGGGGCAAGAACTCATCTCTCTGAGTTTCATCTTCCTCATATGCTTTGGCATATGAGGAGGGCATTGCCTACTTGCAGGGTTCTACTTGGTTTAAGGCACCATGCTTAGAACATGCACAAGGCTTGATAAATAATAGCTAACATCAGCATTTTACCATTGTCTTCGTGGTCAGGTTTATTATCAGTCAAACAAGGTTGGAAGGTTGGGGAGTGAGGAGACCAGGGAAGGTAGATGAGGAGACAACCTCTTCTATAACCCTTACCATATTATGTCTTGACAAACATTTTTTCATACTTTTCATAGTTCCTTGCTAGATTATAAACTCCTGGAGGGCAAAGGTTGTGTCTTATTCATCTCTTTTTAGAGATTAGTTAATAGGTACATTTTAGGTACCTAGTACCGTATTTGGAACTAAACATGCATAATCTAGTTAAGTTCTGTGCAGTAGATGCTATGATTATCCCCCGTTTTCAGAAATGAAGCACAGAGAAGGTAGTTAACTTGCCCAAAGCAAGTGGTGAAGATAGAATTCAAGCCCAAGTTATCTGATTCCAGAATCCAAGACCTGAGTCCCCAAACCACATGACTTCTCTGGCAATATTAGCTAGATGTTAGCCAGACTTCCATGTCATTTGATTCTCATACTTCTTTTAGCTCCTCATCCAAAGTTAGTCAATGTTTTGTTTTGTTTTTTTTCTGCTAGTGATGTTCATTAAATGGACAAGTGAACAGTCAGTCCACCAGCTCTACACAATGTTGCTCTAAGATGATACAACTATGATCATGACCCATAAGAGTCATGAACTCTATGAATGGGTTTGAGCACAAAATGCACAATCTGTGTTTATGTGCATTTATGCAGAGGGAATCCTCTGCTTCCAACAAAGTATCAGAGGAAGTCATGACTCCTAAAATAGAAAAAGACATTAGTTGTTTTAAAAAACGTGAATAGTTGCAGGACCATGTGATAAATTTCTTATAAACACAGTACCATGGTAAAGAAGGGGGGAAATAAAGCTTCCCAGGTGATCTGGAATGTACTAAGTGCCAGATAGGTTTCTGGGCTGTTGGCAATAGAAAGGCAAACACAGATATTGAGTTTGGGGAAGTAGCATGATTAGAAAAATAACTCAACTCTCCAGAAATATGGAGGATCAGAAATACGTTGAGTTGGGCCTCCCCGGTGGCGCAGCGGTTGAGCTCTGGGTTGCGAAGCTGCCCGCAGCCTCTGCAGCACCGGTTCGATCCCCGGCTGCTCCCCGGCCACCGGAGGAGAGTCCCACATGGCGCGCAGACCTCTCCTGCTGCCCGCTGCTCCCCTCAGCAGTGTACTTCGGTCCTTCTGCCTGCTCTGCTCCCCGCTCTGGCTCTGGTGAATTCTCTCACCCTCCTGCGCTTCTGATTGTACCCAGTGCTTGTATAAATAAATAAATCTTTAAAAAAAAAAAAAAGAAAGAAATACGTTGAGTTGAGCTAGACAGTAGTTCCAGACCCCTCTGGGCCCTGCAGGTGCCATGAGCTGACAGACCCTAATGGCTAAGCTCTGAGTCCTATAGATATCTGTCCTGACAACATCTACTCGTCCTCACATAAAGCCCTAGCTCCTTATTCTTGCCAGACCCATGGTAATTTGGTCAAGCAGGCTCTTGAGAATCATTGTAGTCCTTGGGATGCATGGGTGCTTATCGTCTTTGTTCTCTCCACCTCTCTCAGTGGCCAAACACAACTTTTGGCAGGACTGGCAGGAAAAGAGCCCACAAGTATCTGTGCTTTTCCATCAGCCACTGAGCCCAGAACAGATGCTCCAGGACAAGCAGACCACCTGCACAAGGGTCTCTGAGGTAAAGTCTATGCTGCAGGAGCTTCTGGATTCCCCTTTGTTCAACCAAGGGGAGGTCAGGGCCATCAAATACATTTCTACTATGATGGAAAACCTCAATAAGGCCTTCATCCTCCAGCACCAGGAGAATAGAAGCCTTGAGACCAAATACAGGTGGCTGAAAATCGAGATGACCAAGGAGCTCAGCAGCCAGAGACTATACTTTCAGAAGTCCCTCCACAACCTCGAGAAGAAGAGGGATGCCCTACTAAGCCAAGTAGAAGTTCTAGAGAAAAAGTACCATGACCTTCTTCTGTTAAACCATGCCTCAGAGTTCCAGCTGAAGAAGACTCAGTCTGCTAGAGATCAAGCAAAAGATCTAGGTAAGATCTTGGATGACTCCCTGGTCTTCCCTGAGAAAGAGACTCCCCCAAAGGAAGAAAGAGTTATGGAGGACACCCAACAGGAACCCAAGAAGGAGAAGCAATTATTTTCATCACTCTCACCAAGTCCCATGCCAATGGTCTGGGATGGTGGTGTTAGGCCTTCAACATATCAGCCACTTTCCATCATGACCACGTGTTTAAGGATTGCAGATGTGTACAGCAGCAGGTGCACTGAAAGTTGTGAGCCCCTGTTGCTGTCCTCGGTGGATCACAAGTATCCTAAGAAGTGGGAAACACTGGAGGCAGAGAATCCAGACCACAAAGATCAAGACCAGAAGGATTTCTTCCAGGGAGTAGCCCAGGAGAAGGAAAGATTCCAAATTAAGTCCCATTTTAGAGAGCAACTCTCCCCAGAGAGTCCTGAGAAAGTGGCCGTCCAGAGCGACGTGGAGCCCTGGGAAGAGGAGCTCAGCGGGGAGGTGCAGAAGCAGCAGTGGCTGGAAGCAGAGATTTGGCAGCAGAGACTGAAGAAGGGGCCCCTGCTGGAGCAGGAGCACCAGGAGAAGCCACAGCAGCCGGCAGTGGAGGGGGTGGCCAGGGAGCAGGAGCAGAGATTAGTCCAGCCTGGAAAGGAGCAAAGGAACCCAAGGAAGGAGCTGGAGAGGCCAAGGGAGAGCACGGAGAAGATGCTCTTCATGCCCACCAAGCGATGGACGGACTTGAAGGCAGAGCCACCGTTGGCACCTCCCAGAAGACGGGCCCAATCTGCTGGCCAAGGAAGGAGGGCACCCTTGCGCAGGCCCTGTAGTGCCGTGCAGACAGCCCCGGGGAACCAGAGGACCAAGAGTTTATCTGAGCTTACCCAGAAACCACAGGCCCACCAGATTCCCGCAAGACCCAAAAACTCAGCCTCCCTTCCTGCCGGGGGGACAATCCCCCAAAAGGTGACCCAGCCCTCTTTGCACATAACCCCAATAACGCTTAAGGGAAGGGTGTACCACATGGACACCAAGGCCCAGAGGAAGAACCTGCAGCTCCTGAGTGAGAAGGCTGGGCTGGAGCTGCCCTACTACCTGCGCAGCAAGGCCCTGGAGCTCACCACCACCGCCATGGAGCTGAACGCACTCAGACTGCAGTGTCTCTGCCGGAAGTACACCTGCTACCGACACTTCCAGAACCTCCGGTAGGTCCTCCCTGGAGCCCACCTGGCACCCACCCTCTCCCAAAGTCTAAAGGAGGAGGGGTGCAAGGCAAGGGGAGGATGCGGAGGATCACACCAGGCCTGGCAAGTGCCCCCCTGGGTGGCCCTGGGCATTTACACACCCCGCCCCCCAGCATATGGCTTTCCCCCTAAGCCCGCTTCTTTATTTCTTCCTCTTCCTGATGCCTGGCCCATATCCCACCTGACACGCAACCCTCCCCCACCCCGTCTTGCCTTGTTTCTCTCCCTGTTTCAGTCCATCCCAAGTCTCCTCACCTGACACCACCTCTCTCTGTTCTGCTTTCCCAAGCTTCTCTGACTTCCCATTTCTGTTCTTACTCCCAGGAATTACAAACACAGATTCCTTTGGTGAACAGACTCGGTGGGGAGAGGAGGCGCCTGCACCCACTAAATCACTTCCCTCTCTTCCCAGACAAGAAGTGATCGATCACATAAAAGTCATGCGAGAAACCGGGGCTCCTGACAAGATCCAAAACCTCTACATCTTTCTGGAAAACATTGACCACCTAGAGAACCTGCAGCTGCAGGCCTGGACAGACAAGCAGAAGGCCCTGGAGGAGACGCGCCAGGAGTGCCTGAGCGGCATGGCGATCATGTTCCCCAAAGTGAGCCTCCCCCTCCCAGCCTCCCCCTCAGGGTCAGGAGGGTCAGCGGGGCTAGGCAGGGTGTGATCTAGTGGGATGTGGGTCATGTCTGGGGCGGGGGAGCAGAAGGGACGTAGAAGCCTTGGAACCAGAAAGAAACCCGAGTGGAAAGAAGAGCAGCTTTCCTGTCTGCACATCTGGGGGAGCAAGAGAGAGGAACCCTCAAAAAGCTACAGAAGACTCCTGGAAGTGGGGCAGCTGGACCCCGCAGTCCCCACTTCACACCAAGGTTCTCCTTACTCTGGGGTGTCCCTCCCCTGTTCCTGCAGCTCTGCTTGCTCTCCAGGCGTCGTCCTCTCACCCTTGTGCTGGGGCTTGTTTTGCTTCCCCTGGGGACGGCGCCCCTGCTCTCTAGATGCCAGGTCTCTCCTGAGTAGGGGAGCACCTCCGCTAGGCACTTCCTGACAAGGGGTATTTGGCAGGTACGATCACTGAGATCCTGCTTGTCTGAAAATGTCTTTACTTGGTCTCTAACGTCACTCTTAGTCGACAGGAAAGTTCAGTTAGAATTCATTTTCCCTCACAATGTTGAAGGCCCTGCTCATTGCCTTTAGGTTTTGGTGTTGCCGTTGAGAATCTAAGGTCACTCTGAGTCCTGAGTCTTTGGATTTGATCTATTTTACTCTCTGAGGTTTGGCTTCAGTTTCCTCTATTCTGTTCCTTGCTAACAGGAGTGGAGAAGCAGCGAGCGCTGACATGGTCCACAAAGGGTTAGCCACAACAGGGGGATTGGAGAATCCCACAGCCTGGACTCAGAACCTGCAGGGGTTGGACCAGGAGGTAATGGCCTCTGAGTTCTGAGCAGCAGCGGTTTGGTGTTAAGCGATGGCATCACACAATGGGGCAGCCTTGGCCATGGAGGTATCCCAACTCAGTTTCATGTCACTTGTACTAGTCCAGATCATTTGCAGATGTCTTTTTTTTTTTTTTTTAAGATTTATCCATTTATACAAGCACTGGTGTGCAAGCCAGAGGCGCAGGAGGGTGAGAGAATTCACCAGAGACAGAGCAGGGAGCAGAACAGGCAGAAGGACTGAAATACACTGCTGAAGGGAGCAGTGGGCGAGACAGGAGAGGTCTGCCATGCCATGTGGGAATCGTCCTGACCGGCTGGGAATCGAACCGGTGCTGCAGAGGCTGCAGAGAGCCTCACAGTGCTGCGCTCAACCTGCTCTGAGGACAGCGCCCCTGCTTTCTAGATACCAGGTCTCTCCTGAGTAGGGGAGTACCTCCGCAAGTCACTTCCTGACAAGGGGTATTTGGCAGGTACAATCACTGAAGGCCTGCAGATGTCTTGACTTGCTAAAGTGGTTTTAAGCTTGAGAAGGAAAGTGACCACGTGACAGTTCTTCCAGGATTGCTCCCCGAGTGCCAGCTGCTCTGTCTTTCTTTAGTTTTTTCCTTACTGTTTGGCCCATTGTCCAGATTCTCCATGACAAAGAAGAGCAACTCAGCAAATAAGAATTCAAGGAATTTCTAGAAATGATTGCTTGGGATTCCAGGAATCTTTAGTCCTGGTTGGAAGAAGTCCTGACACCTGCCCTCCATGCTCCTCTCCCTGCTCACCTCTCCCTAATGCTTCTCTGCTGCTACCTCTAGCTCCAGCTGGAATGGAAAATTCACCTGCACACGCCTCTGGTCACCTCCCCAAAGTCTAGGAAAAGCAAGCAGCCCCCATCCTTGACCCAGGGCATCCACCATAGCAGCGCCTCTGGCAAGCAGCTCCAGGAACGCTTTCCATCAAAAGAGGCCAGGTAGCCACGGGGAAGACAAAGGGCAGCCAACTGATGGCGGGGAAGCAAGTGTGGCCCCAGGTTCACAATGAGCCAACGTGAGCCTCTGGGCAACCAAGGAGACCACATTCACACCCACCACAGCATGGCTGGTTGAGGGCTTTCCCAGGGTAAAATGCCTCAAGCATGGGGATAATTCCAGAAGCCTCTTTAGGTAGCTCCTTAGCCAGAAGAGCCCCAGGGAGTAGGGGGTGGAGGGAGGTGGCGAGGAGGGCAGTGACAACTGTTAAGAAAGGGAGGAAAACAAAGCAGTGTCTTGGACCTTGCGCCCTCCAGAGCTCTGGTATTTCTCCAATTGTCTGCATTCATTTCCAACTCTATCTCTTTTTTATATGTTTGACCCCCACGCCCCCAGCCAACAGGGAAATCGGATGAAGGCCATTTGGAAGACTGATGTAGCCTCTTCCAGTCACCCAATAGAAAAGAAGACACCCGTCAACCTGTCCTGGGACCAGCCAGGGGGGCACCCAGATATTCCCCAGCTGTTGGCAGTGGGTGTGCGTGCCTCGGGCGACAAAAGCGTGATGTCTCCCACTGCCAGGTAAGGTGCAAACCTAATCTGGATTCAGGGAGACCAGCCCACCAAGAGCAGGGGCCAGAGCACACAGCCTCTATCCAGGGGCCCACGAGATCTCTTTCCGAACATTAATAATGACCTCAGTACTGGACCACCTCAGGCAGGCGCTTGCCTGCCTCATCCTTCCATCGGCTATCAGCTTGGGTCCCCATGCCAGCAGCATTTTAGTTCTCTCAAAGGACTTTACACAGTGTCTCAGAGAATCATTAGAGTCATCTTCCTTCCCAGCTGTCTCCTGGGCTGTGCCTGAATTGCTCTCAAGACGTATCTTGCCTTAAGCCCAGGGATTGTTCTCAAGGGGTGCCCGGCGCGGGAAGGGAGAGATGAGGGAGATCAAGAAACACAAGGTGAACCAGAGCCGAGGGGCCCAGGCCTGTCTTTGGCATTGCTGTCTCCTTACTACCTGTAGGAAGAGCAGCAGGGTGAGGGGGGCAGGAACCGGTGGGTCAACAGCGGCTTTCCTGGTTAGGAGGGTTCAACTCTCATTTGACTCTCGGCTTCAAGATATGACAACTGAAGACTCAAGACTCTTTCAAGGAACGTTTCTAGTTTACCAATCCCAGCTGCCCCTTGTGACCCCGGCCCAATGGGTGACCTTTGACAAAGTGAGGGCACTGATGCCTGAGAGCACAGACCTCACCGGAACCGAAAGCCCTAAGACACCGGTGCCGCCCCGTCCTAGCCGCATGTGAGACAGGACAGTCCCGATCTGTGCTTGTGTCCTGAAGCGGGCGCGAGAGTCTCAGCTGGACATCAGTATCCCCTCCACCCAGTACACAGACAGACACCTGGTTTTTAGTTCCCAGGGTTTCTAAGATGTGTGTTGCTGTTAGTTGATTTGGATATAACAAACAGAATGAAGGACAACCAGAACAACACGGGCAGAACTCAGTAACTGCAGTCAACTGGGACCCCACCCAGCCGAGATTTGGCTACACTTGCCCAAGGGCCCATGGTGGCGTCTCCCTCCGAGCTCCTCCTGCCCTCTGCCTCCTTGCCTGCGCTCAGCTCAGCATCTGTTTGAACCAGAAGCCCAGCACCTTTGTTCTTCCCACACACATAAATACCAGGATATGAGTGTGCCCTCTGCCTGGCCGCAAGCATTTCATGATGTTAGTAACTTTCTGAAAATGGAGGTGGGTGATGAGAAAGGGATGCGCAGTGAATTGTGCCATGCTGCAGCCGCCTTTCCTCTCATCTATCTTTGGTATGAGAAGCAAAATTAAAAAAACTCCTTCATTCTCACATGGAGCTGTTCCACCCACACCCAGTTCTCCACTGGGATCTCAGTTTCAGGCTTAAGCATTTATCAAAATATTGTTCCCAGCAAAGACAGCTTCCACTTTCCAGGGGAATTTAGGAGGATATAATTTCCTTACCCTCTTTTTAGCTCTATACATGATTATTCAGCTTATCTCACTACCAGGCATAGAGAGAAAGCCCCGTGTCCTCTGTCACCTCTATCTGCAACCCTGCATCTGGCATGGCCATGCAGGGGTCCCCTGTGCTGACTTGGGGTTCCATTATCATGGATGGAGGATCTGCCTCTTTTAACCAAAGTTGCCGAGGTGGCTGCTGCTTCTGAGCGGCTATGCTGCTTTCTCTACGAGCTCCTACACAAGCCCTTCTGGAGACACTGCTCCTGCCTGCAAAAATGCTCCTCCTCTACAGCCACCATCCCTGGCTCGCTGTGAATCCTCACATTCACCTGTTCTGTGGTTCCGGATCACTCACCTCCATGGGACCCTAGTGACCTCACCAGCTCTGCCGTTGTGCTGTCCAGTTCACAGCACTGGTCAGGTTCATAACTAGGATTGACCTCATGCTTCTAGCCCTTTTCTCCTGCCCTGCCTGGCGCTGACAGCCTGACTCACCTACAGGCCACTGGGGAGGGCGATTCATCTTTCCCCTGTGGTTTCGGACACTGAAGACCAGGTTGGTCCCTCAAAAGTCCGCAGACCCCTTTCTGAAAGATCTAGATCTTTTTCTGCTTTGTCTTACCAGCATCTCCCTTGGGTTCCCTGTCTGACAGGTAAGATAGCCATGTGTGTGCACACACCAATGGCTGTTTACAGTAAAAGAATCTTTTTTATTTATTTTTTTTTTGTGGAACCCTCGCCAGTAGCCGGGGATTGAACCGGCGCTGCAGAGGCTGCGGGCAGCCTCACAACCCAGCACAGCTGAAGACCACAGTGTTCACATGCATGCACCAAGATGCCGCAAGCACAGACTCGGTGTGCTGCAGATGGAGGAGCGGGCTTCTGATTGCTACAAGGAAGGAGATTAGATGGGGGTGGAGAGGAAGACACATGGATGAGTAGGAAGGAATAGGAAAGAGGAAGCCAGGCAGATTTTCAAGAAAAGCAGCAGAGCCCTGGGATGCAGCAGAAATATGTTAAGTAGCTCCACCTCTGGGTCAGATCCAGACCCTGCCATGGCTTGGTCTCCCAGAGTGGACCAGGAAAGCTCTTGGGGGAGGGGGGCTGAGTGGGTGCTCACATCCTGGGGCCTTGTTCCAGCAACTCCCTTGCCTGTAACTATTAACTCTTTCCATGTCTTAGAGACCCAAAGAAAGCAAAGCCAGGAACCCCCAGATGAGTCAGCTGAACTTGTTTGCAAAAAAGTCAAGTGAGTGCTTTCCTGGAACCCTAAAAAGCCAGAAGAATCAAGATAATCCCAGTCTCTGTGATCCTCAAACTTCATGGTAACTAAAAACCACACAAGAAATTGTTCCAAATGCAGGTCTCCAGCTGTTGTTTTTAAACAGACACTCTGGATATTGTTAAATAGACCTAGAACTTTGAAAGACATCACTTTCCTCTTTCAATCTACAAACTTTATATTTTTAATAAAATAGAAGTATGTTTAAATTTTTCTGTCTCATTGCTGAAATCCATACCTCCTCAACTGATTTTTTTATTTTAAATTTTTAAAAAATATTTATTTATTTATTTATACATGCACTGGGCACAGTCAGAAGCACGGGAGGATGAGAGAATTCACCAGAGTCAGAGTGGGGAACAGAGCAGGCAGAAGGACTGAAGTACACTGCTGAGGGGAGCAGCGGGCGGTAGGAGAAGTCTGAGCGCCATGTGGGACCGGGGAGCAGCTGGGGATCGAACCGGCACTGCAGAGGCTGTGGGCAGCTTCGCAACCCAGCGCTCAACCACTGCGCCACTGCGGAGGCCCTATTTTAATTTTTTTTTAAAGATTTATTTATTTTTCTTTTTAAAAAAAAATTTTATTTATTTATTTATACAAGAACCGGGGTACAGTCCAGATGCGCGGGAGGGTGAGAGGATTCACCAGGGACAGAGTGGGGAACAGAACAGGCAGACTGATGAAATATACTGCTGAGGGGAGCAGGAGGCGAGACAGGAGAGGTCTGTCACGCCATGTGGGACCCTTGCCAGCCGGCCAGGATCAAACCGGCGCTGTACAGGCTGCAGACAGCTTCACAGTGCAGCGCTCAACCACCTGCGCCACCAGGGGAGGCTCTATTTTTCTTTTTATACAAGAGCTGGGGTACAGGCCAGAGGCGCAGGAGAGTGAGAGGATTCACCAGAGACAGAGCTGGGAGCAGAACAGGCAGATGACTGAAATATACTGCTTAGAGGAGCAGCGGGTGCAACAGGAGAGGTCTGCCACACCATGTGGGAATTTCCCTGGCCGGCCAGAAATTGAACTCGTGGGGCAGAGGCTGCAGATTGCTTCACAGCGCTGCGCTCAACTCTCTGCGCCACCAGGGAAGCCCTCTCAATTTTTGGAACAAGGTCTATGACCACCTGGACACTGACCTGGGGATACCAGAGAGGACACCCCATGTCTGCGCCAAGTATGGTCTCTGCCCATTGCAAGCAAGAAGGCTGAGATGGCCACAGTTAGTACCTGGCATGCTGCAGGGTTCACTAATTCTTCAATTAACCAAAGATATACACACGTAGGCAATTGATCCACTGATGATTAGCAAGGATGTACAGAGGATAAGGACAAAAGGCGACATGGAATGCAAGTCAGAGCCACGTGTAATTGGGCGGGAAGGAAAAGCTAGCAGTCTCTGAAGAGCGAGTTCTAAGATTGAAGAAACGCAAACACAGAGGTTTCAGATCTAGAAGTTATAGCTAAGGAGGGCATCTCTGGTGACCGTTTATCAATTCAGTTCAGATACTGCTTTAGTTAGTTGATCTAGCTAGTGAGCACACACTCATTCTTCCTCACATGCACACAGCCACCTACCTCATCTCCCACTAGCTTCCACACTCCCCTGCCTTCTCCACCCAGCCACACCTGGCCTAGAGGCCAGGAATAATAAACATTAACTAGGAATGTTTAAAACATTAACTAGGTAATCCCATTTCTCAGGAATGGCATCCATCCTTTATTCCAGCTTAAGGCTGAGACTCTGAAAGGCAAAAGGGGAATGGGTATAAAGAGGTGCTCTTGGATGATGTCAAAGTAGGATTTGATTCCTAAGCCACGAGCTAACATACCACCATAAGAGGAAGGAGAGCGAGAGACACGTCAATGCGGATCGCACAGGGCAGTGGTGGGAGTAAAGGCATTTCTAGCCTTCCAGGCCCCAGGCCTATTTTTTTGGAGGCCTCATTCCCATTGTATCCAAGATACTAAAATTTCCCCACACTAAATGCTTTAAATGATGTGAAAGGAATTTTATGACTTTACTTTGGAAATTAATCGACTATGTGTAAGTTTTTGAATGGGTAGTTGGCAGTGATTTCTCAACAATCATCATGGATGCAGTGAAATCTAATACATTTGGTAAATGCAATGAGAATATTGTGAATATTAAATTTTGATGTGTAGTGAAATTGACAATATCATGTTTTATAAGCATTTAATTATGTATTTCTTTTACATTTTTGTATTTTGATGTCAACTACATTTTCAGAGGTGTCGTGTGTTTTCATGGGTTCCTGGCACTGAGCTTGGCTAAACCTGTTCTGGTGATGAAGGACTTTGACTTTCTAGCTGTCCCCTAGCAAGCTCTCTGGCAAGTGAGCAGAGTGTCTGACAGATTCTTCTCCTACTTTGCCAACATTTTCATCTCCCTGAAGGCAAAAAAGGCTATGAAGCCAAGGAGGTTGGAAACACCACATATATATGGTGTATTTCTAGCGATGAGATTCTATGATAGTATACACCAGCCTCATTTTTTTCTTCAGTGCAAAGTTGATGTGTTTGATCAAACAAGATACTGCCTCTACCCTCAAAAAAGCAAAACAGGGCCTCCCAGTGGCGCAGCACGTTAAACACTGTGCTGTGAAGCTGTCCTCAGCCTCGGCAGTGCAGGTTCGACCCCGGCTGGCCGGCAAGAATCGTGCCCGCTGTTCCCCTCAGCAGTGTATTTCTGTCATTTGCCTGTTCTGCTCCCTGCTCTGTCTCTGGTGAATCCTCTCACCCTCCCACACCTCTGGCCTGTACCCCAGCTCTTCTATAAAAATAAATAAATCTTTAAAAACAAAAACAAAAACAAATTCCAGAGACCCAAAATTTGGGATGGGAAGAAATATTTCTTGGCATATTTCTTCAAGTGGATATGAGGGTGGTACAGAGCTCTGTATGCATGTCCCCATGTCCTCCAAGATGAGGAATACCCATGCAGAAGGGGACAGGAATGTCTGTTTAGCCTAACTGTGACCTTCAAGGAAACTCTAGTGAAGTGGAAGGCACAAAAACCTTTTGGAAACAACCCAAAGGGTTAGGGCGAGAAAAGTGACACAAGGTCTGGTATGGCCTGTGTATGGCCAACTTGGAAAAAAATGAGAAAAAGGACAAGCATGACTCATAATTAGAGCTGTCATCTTCTATAAAAAAGGAACATGATTAAGATGTAACTATCAGTGCATCAATGGGGGACTTTTAAATAAGGACACAAGCACATTCCTCCTGTTGTACTTCACCTTACTGCACTTTGTAGATACTGCCGTTTTTTTGTTTTTTTACAAATTAAAGAAAGGCTATTTGTGCCATTTTCCATCAGACACTTTGTGTCACATTTAATTAGGGTAGCTACATCATGCTATCACACACTTAGTAGACTATTAGCGTAGACATAACTTTTATATGCCTGGGAAACCAAAACATTCACTGGACTTGATTTATTGGGATATTAATAATATTGCAGTGGTCTGGATCCAAATCCATGGTACCTTTAAGGTATGCCTGGATTTCTGGATTTAATATGGTAAAGATGTAGTCTAGTAGAAAAGGTGAATAACATACATGAGCAGATAGAGAAATAGAACAGAGAGTAGGAAATTGGGGTGAGGGGAAAGAAATGGAAAAAATGGGAATACTAGAAGAATTCTTTCAACAGGTTTATCAGCTCATTGGGCAAAAGCAGATGAAAAAAAATCTGAACTTGAAAGCTAGGTCAATAGAAATTGGGATTGGAATTTCCTTGCTTCATTCCTGGGAGAATAATCTGAAAATTATTCAGAAGGGCACAAACCCCAGAAGATTCCATGATTTGGGGCAAAACTGTAGCACCTTTTGGACCAGCATGGACAACACCAGCAGAGACACTGAGAAGATTCATGCTTTGTTAAACAAGAGGTGGGTGCAGAGAAATGCCTTGAAATGTGGTCTGGGGCAGGGAGGAGGCCATACAATGTATGGTGTTGCTACTCAGCTGGCAGTCCTAGGAAGGGGGAAGCTGAGCAGGGTGGAGTATACATCTGTGACTAAGGGAACATGTTCAGAGGAGCTGGGATGCTCCCAGGGGCAGGTCCCTACTGTAAAGGACAGTGTGCCAGGCTATACTCCCCTTCCCTGATCCCTCAGGCTCATACTGTCCTTCTGCAGTACAATAACAGCACACAGACTACAGAGACTCAGGTCTGAAATACTGAAGCTGAGACATATCAGCAGTGCCACAAACATAAGCCAGAAGATCACCCCCCCCCCACACACACACACACACAAACTCCCTTGCACTCCTACCAGCAACTGAACCCCTACAGGTCCCTCCTCCACTTGCTGACTCAGCATCTGCAAGATCAGGTCTCCTGGCCCATAGAAGCTGGGAAAGGCCAAAATAATCTAAAATCAAATAAAACCACAGCACCATCTGCTGGAAAAGCAGAAGGAGTACAAATCTCCAAGTGACTATTACAGATAGTTTTCTAAAAATAGGGGAATCTGAAGCAGCAAAATGTAAATCTGCCTGCTCTGCTCCCCATTCTGTCTCTGGTGAGTCCTCTCAACTCCTGCACCTCTGGTGTGCACCCTGGCTCTTGTTTGCATAAATAAATGAATCTTTAAATTTTTTTTTTAATGAAGAAGCAAAATGGGCAGACCAATATATATATATTGGTCTTCCCATTTATATATTTATATAAATATATATATTTATATATATACAAAACACTTGGCACCTTGAGACCTCAAGGGAAAATGTCATCACAAGAAAAGAGCAAATCCAACCAAAAAGACATACAAGAGTTTATCCTCTTATCAGATAGAGTTCAAAACTGGCACAATAAGAAAATTCAAAGAAATGGAAGAAAAAGCAGAAAAGCAAGTGAAAGTGATACAAAAGAACTCTGAAAAGGAGACATAACAAAAGTCAGAAAAAACGAATGTCTTATCAAATAAAATTAATGAACAGAAAATAGATACCAAAGCTTTACACAAATAACAGAGACACAAGATGTTAAAAGATCAATAGAGGAGATTTTTTTTTAATTGGAGAAAACTATGGCTGTGAGGTAGGAGGAGGCAGAGTAGGTGGGAGCTAAATAAGCTAGTCAGCTGGCCTCACTGCCCCTCAAGGTAGGCCCTGGGATCTGACTATTGCCTCCAATTCTTTTCCCCAAGGTGACCAGC